ACGCTATGTTTGAAGGTTAAGAGACACGAGAAAATGTTTAATTTGTAGTAGCAGCTTTGATAGTTGGTTACTTTCATATTTTGTCCAGGCATGGGTGGAGACGTATTTCATCCACACTTCCTGTTCGGAAAACGCTTCTGAAAGAGGCGTGGCCTGGCGGACCGAGAGAGGCACTGATAGACTGCCACACTAATGATTACACATGTGTACTGCACCATTGGCATACATGGGCGACGGTGGAACAGGAGTTAAGTGCTCGCCCCGTAATCGGAGGGTTGCAGGTTCGAGCCCCGCTCAGTCTGTCGCTGTGTCCTTGGGCAAGACACTTAACCCAGTTGCCTGCTGGTGGTGGTCGGAGGAACCGGTGGCACCAGTGCTCGGCAGCCTCGCCTCTGTCAGTGCGCCCCAGGGCAGCTGTGGCTACATTGTGAATGGGTTAATGACTGATTGTGTTGTAAAGTGCCTTGGGGGGTTCCAGGACTCTAGAAGGTGCTATATCAAATACAGGCCATTTACCATTTTACAAGCTGGTTAAGTTCAGCGTTTAAAACTGATAAGGGTCTGAAATGTTAGTGATAATCATCGACATATAAATATAATAATTCAGACAAAAGAAATCAGGATTCTGTTGTTTATTTTAGAAAACCCCTGCTAGGAGGTTCTGGTGGGTCCATAAACAATACTGAGCCTCCTGAGGACTTGTGGGTTCTTCTCCAGCTGGACCACCAGAACCTTCACTGGCAAAGCGCTTTAGAGTCCGCTGACTCAAGGCGCTGCGACTGAAAGTCACTTATCGTTTAACGAGTTGGGTCAAATTAACACTTCCGGTTTCAGTCCACCTGTGCTGCAGATAATTGATCATAACAGTAGGTGTTGTCTGAGCGTGCTGCCGACCACAAATTGACCTTTCACCTTCATAACCCCTAAGTATTAATATCGGTCTAAAACATTCGCATATGAGCGTCTTCCGGCCGGTCACAGGTCACGCATTTAACGTCATACCACCGATGTTAGCCTGTTAGCAACTTGTTAGCAAGCTGTTGGGTCGCGGACCGAGTCCACGCCGTCAGTGTTTACCTTAATCGTGACGTCACAAAGCTTTCCCTGACGTCGGATCTCCTCCATGACGACATAACCTCGCGCGGGCAGGTCGTGCACGGAGAAATGAACCAAATCTTCGAGCTCTTCGCAAAATCCGTCTCCCATCGTGGGCAGGAACTCAACCCTTCACAATAAAACAACTTCCGCTTCTGTAGTGATCTCCAAAATAAAGTTGATTTCAAACTGATATGAACGTCCGACCGGAAGTGTCTAACGTTCTGATCCAAGCGGATTTAAATGTTTTACAGAACCTGATTTGGAACTGCAATTTAAAGCCATTTAAAACATTTATTCTTGAAACAGATGACTTTACCAGACCAGCTTTGGCCGGGGTTTGGACTGGTTCTGTTCTGGGTTGGTGAACTGGGAAAACCCAATCAGACCAGAATCTGAAGTCTGACTTGGATCAGGTCAGAAACTGAAGCTGGAACTGAAGGTTTCCCAGGAAATCACGAACTTCCCATTAGCTCAGAAACGTGTCAATCAATTGCTGGAATGACGAGTTAACTCTCAAACATGAAGAAAGTTTCCATGGAAACAGGACCACTGAGAATCAGAGGAACACTGCGTATGGATCTAAACGGTTGAGGGAACCAGTCTGCTGGAACTCTGTAGCTGTCCCCGGATCAGGAGCGTTCTGAATCAAATAACCCAAACCCTATTGGGACATCAGAACTCCACAACCAACAAATGGTCTTGGGTCGGATCAGCGGGTCCTTGGGTCATTTTATTAGAAAATGTTTCAAAACAATCTGCAGCAGCATCCCATGAGTAAAAACAGCTGAAAAATCTTTATTTACATTTCACCTGAAACAGCCAAGCCGCACCAGAATGCACCTGTCCTGATGATCCACTTAGTTCTAGTTCTGGTTTGGGTTCTGCTTTGAATTTGCTGCCAGAAAGAAATCCTGCTTGACTGCCGAGTGGTTAGGAACGTTCCTGTGGTTAGGGTGGACCCGCTCAAACCTTCTGCATCCTGCTCACCATTTTACACAAGTCAGACCTGAATTAGCTCCAGACCTGGTCCTGGGCTCCAGGAGGACGTCCCATCTGGATCAGCTGTGACATGAAACCACCATGTTCTGTTTGGACCCAGCTTCTGGGTGGACCTGGTGAGTTCAGCAGAAAGTCATGTGACGGTTCAGGAGGTGTCAGGGGCCAGTGCTGTGAGAAGAATGATGAGCAGGGCAGAAGTGATGGTAAAACGTGAAAGACAACCTGAAGAAGGTGTTTCCATGGAAACAAGACCAATAAAAACCAACCCAGTTAGAAAGAGGCCACTACGTTAAGGTGAAAGTTCATGGTGGCTCTACGCTGACAGGTCACTGCTGTCGAAGCGCTCCTGATCGTAGACCTCCGCCACCACCTTGCGTCCTCCGAACCAGCGGTTGTTGAGTGCCTGGATGGCTCGGTTCATCTCTGCCACCTCAGAGAATTCAACAAAGATCTTCACCACGATTTCAGCATCCTCCTCCTCACCCTGGCGCTCCTGGTAGATGATGACTCGCTTCACCTGCCCAAACTTTCCACACTCCTCCATCACCTCCCCCTCCAAGTCATCGTCGATATCTTCTGGCCCGACCATGTTCCTCAGAACCATGACAATGGACTGGAAAGGACAACAGGTTCAAAGGTCAGGGACCAATGATGCAGCTGACGTTTAACAGCAAAATTAGACTAAACAGCAGGAGGCTGATTCTGGTCCAGGCGCCGCCCACCTCCTGCTTCCGCAGCAGTTTCCTCATCACCATGTGTCGGGCGCTGTTGCCACTAATGCTCACATGCTCCTGCTCACTCAGGGGCTCCATGGCTTCATCTTGCTGCACCTCCTCCTCACGCTCCTCCTCTGTCTTTTTCTGCTCAGAACTGACTGATGTCTTTGCATATGGGGGAGTTGCCAGAACTGGGTTCACCAGCCCCACATGGGGTAGACTTGGACGAATGGGGGTAACACCTGAAATCAAAAAAAGAGCAGTGGATTAGGTAGGTGGAGGCAACAAGATAGGGGCAGAGCTAAAAAGCTATGTATACCTGTTATGACACCTGGGGCCTGGGCGGCCATGACGGCCTGAGGAAGTCCAAACTGCTGAGAGAGGAGTGCCGGTCCTGCAAGAGCTCCAAGTACAGATGCTCCAACTGCCTCCTGAACACACCACCAAACAGGAAGTTACAGCCAGAAACGCTTCAGCGGTAGTACTAAAGTGGTACTATAGACGTTACTGCTGCTGGTACTACAGAAGTACCACAGATGTTACTGCAGCGGTATGTTTGTAAATATCACTTTTATTTAGCATTTAGCATCGATGGAACAAAGATTTTCGGTCGAAATTGACCCAAAAGAGCATTTTTGGTTCTCCGTTGAAAGATGTAAATGACAACATGGACACAGCCGAAGCAGGCCGTCGGGTGAACCCCATTCTTGTTCGCTCGGACCTCTTAGCTACTTGCTCTTTGCTTCATAAAAACATTCATACTCATTTCAAACGTTTTAGTGATGCTGTTTAATTACAATCGTTGTTTTAACTTGCATCTTGTACGTTTTGAGCATAATGAGAAATTAGTGAAGCGGCTCTCACTGATCGTGTTCCAGAACTCGCACCGACGGGACCTACAGCTGGAGATTTACTACATACCTGAGTAGTGATCTTTGCACTAGCAGCAGCAGCTGCCACAGCCGCGGCGGCAGGAAGTCCTCCTGGGGTCATTGGTGTGAGGAGGGGGACAGGTGGTGTCACAGCTTTCCCCACCCGCAGGTACTGACCCCCAAGATCAAACAGGTTCATGGAAGCCACGGCGTCTTGAGCTGACTGAGGTTTATCGTACTCTGGAGAGACCAGGATGACAAATCTGCCATTAGGTGAGGTGAAAGCCCAGGAGACGCCCCCCTGTGGCATTTTCACATCTGGCCCAGTCCGGTCCAGTCCTGGTTGGGTCGGCCCACCTTGTGAGGCCCGGTTCTGTTCCCAACATGATGTCTGTGGTGTCCTCCTTAAGCAGTGTTGCTTTTGGATAGTCTGACACAACCCGACACACAGCTTCCTGCTGAACAGCAGTGCCTGTCCTCGCGCTGCTGCAGCAGGTCCGTGCTGCGGTCAGGGAAGAGGTTTACTCTACGGCATCCGGACTGATAACGAGTCACTCATGCAGGAAGCTGCCGCTGGCTGACTCTACCAGCCAATCAGAGGCTCCTACTAGTAGGTGGGTGTGAACGCCAGCCGGCCGGTCAATCGGTAGAGGGTGTGTTGGGTCAGCTCTGCACCCAGCTGACCGCCAGGATGCAGGTACAAGGAAACTGTTCGGCAAATGCACAGATTACCCAGATGTGAACACAATCAACCTACCAGGGCTGGACTGGGCCGAGCCAGACGTGGATGTGCCATCATTACACCCAAGACACTACCAGCACATTAGGACATGAACTAATCTCACCGATGAAGCCGTAACCTTTGTGGCGTCCGGTGGTCGGCTCACGGGACAACATACATGACTTGATCCTTCCAAAAGCCTCAAAGACACTCTTGATGTCCTCGTCAGACAGGTCTGCATGCACTGAGGCCACGTAGATCCTGTTGAAGGCACGCGCTTCTTCTGCCAGTTGCTCAATGATTGGTTGAGCCTGGCCAATGTTACTGGGCCTCCCAACCTGCAAGAGGACACTCGCTGTACTCACCGGCTCTGGTTTTAACTAGAAGGATCCAGTTCAAACTGGACACAGGGTTGGGGACTACCTTGATGTTCCTTCCTCCAAGGATGACAGAGTTCATCTGTTCCAGGGCCAGCTGAGCTGCCTCGGGGACTTCGTACTCTACAAAGGCAAACCCCTGTTGAGATCAGGAGTTGTAGTTAGCAAACTAAAGACCATACTGCTTTTAGCTGTGTGTGTGTGTGAGTGAGTGAGTGTGTGTGTGTGTGAGTGAGTGAGACCGACCTTGTGCTTCATGGTGACAGAGTCCCAGGACATGTCGATACTTTTGATTGGTCCAAAGGGGATGAAGGCCTGTCTGATGGTGTCCTCGCCCAGCTCGTAGTAGATGGAGCCAACGTAAACTCGACACATAATGGCCAGAGCTCTTTGCCTCTGAGCTGCAACCTGAAGCACGCACACCCAAACGAGAAGAGCTGATGGGTGACAGCTTATTGGCTGCTAGGCGCAGCGTCACTGCTTCAGATCGTTTCCAAAACTTCTCAGCTTCTCACATCCAACAGACATTTGACACACTTGAGTGAGACACGTTAGACACGACTAACAGAGGCTTCTTCTGGAAGCACAAGTATTGTGTGGTGGACGAAGCCCTCTGCAGCATGTGTCTTCTGATTCAAGGCCTGAGATGATGTGCTGTACCTTCCTAGTCTACTCCCTAGGACTCATACTCCCTTTGCCTCAGAAGTAGATGAGACAGATGGAGACGCTGGTACCTTGAGGTTGTATGAACTCACTGTTAGAAACCTCTAGATGGGAGGGGACACACTCACTGAAGACAGGTCATGTTTTGTACAACTGAGTTCCTCCTCACGGTGCAATCATACTTAAACAATTACTGGATCCAGGACCTTTTATCCTCAATGTTTTAATAAGTCTCAAATAAAACCCCACAACAGTCCCAAAAACAGAATATTTGGTTATCCACCAGGTTCACATAGAAGGACTGCGAGGAGGAGACTCACCGACTGCAGAGGAGAGAGAGCGTCTCCTAAACCCATCGCCAAAGGTGCCATCTGAAACAGATCAGATCCAGCTGGATCAGACGGGGAACCGTGAATGGTTGAGAAGGTTTGTACTGGGTCACATGACGCCACCTGCAGGACTGTTCTGTTGTCTTACCTGCAGACTGGCGAGTTGTTGTTGCTGCACCAGAGTCTGTTTCACCAGCACACTCTTGATGCTCTGCTCCATTGCATACTTCTTTGCCTAAAGAAAGGAAACAACCAATCACAGCTTGCTTTTTTTGGATGGGGCAAACGCTGTCTGACGTCTCTCCATTTATGTTTGCTGTAGATGAATTCTTTCATCTTTCTAATCTATTCAGCAGAGTAAAAAGGTGCCTGAGCCACCGAGTGTCTCACTTAACCGCATGAAGGGTTGTTATCTTCATCATACACTGAAAAAAATGATTCCTGGAATCGCCCTGACCCTAAATAAAATAAAACCAACTAAACATATTAGTTAAAGACTGAAATTTAAAAAATGAACGAATTCCAATGCCTGTTTTATTTACTAAACCAACAGAGCCCAGTTGTACTGATTAGAGTTCAGCACTACGTCACACTTTAATAAGATCCTCTAAAATGTGACTAAATATCTTAGTTAAAGACAGAAGTAAAGAAAATGAGTTAATTCTACCTATTTGATCTAACTAACCAACAGAACCCAATTCAGCACTGCCAAATTACCAAATGTATTTAACTGTACCTGTTGGCCAGAGTATCTGGTTACAGAACCGAGCTGTTCTGGCCTTCTAGCACCGGGCTGCCAGTGTCATGCATTTGACCCTCTTAACACACTCTCACCTCACACTTCCAGTACGCTTACGGAGGCAAAGCGGTACACACACACCTGGCCCAGATCGAGCCAACCCTAGTGCCTAATAGTCCCCAGTCCCCTCTGTGGGCGAGGACAGACACCAGTCCTCTCTGTTGACCAGGACAGACACCAGACTCCTGTCTGGACCAGGATTAAACCTGATGGCTTTAACACAAACATTCTTTACTGAACCGGATGATGGAGACCAGCTGTTCTCTACAAAAGCTTTTAGGACCATGAAGATGTTGGTCACATTTCTTTCTTTGAAGTCCTCTTTTTCCTTCGGAATGTTCCAAAAGCAGTATTTACCCTGAACCTATGGACCCTGCTTGAGTTTCTGACTGGACTGCCCATTCACTCTAAAGTGCTACTGAGTAACTGAAGGGAAATGCTCGAGACCTTCTGCAGTGCGTCCTGCTGGTTGGGCGTGAGTGGTGGAAGGCCCAGCTTGGTGGTGGTTGTAGCTGTGGGGGTGGTCTGTCCGTTCTCCATGATGAGAGCCGGCACTCCCTGTGGATGATTCAAACATACCTTCACAGATTCTGAAAAATTAATCAATCAGAGGTCAATCACCTTTTTTTAATCCGTATCCTAATCAGAAGATAATCCACCATCATTCCGATAAACCAAAGCCACCAAAAGAAGCTACTCGTAAGAACCCTCAATTCACTCAAATGATTAGGAGATATTAATATAAAATAAATGTGCCTCCTACTCCCAACCCAAGTTTCAGATCTGAAGAAGTTCCATGGATGAGAGGAGAAATGTCTTCATGGAAAACAAGAAAAGTGCAGTTGCTTTCAAATAAACCCTCAAGATCATCACGCCCTGGTTGATCTCATAATTAATAAACCAGGTAACGGATCAATCAGTGCCTGATGTTACAATGTTTTCTTTAACCAGGTCAAATCTGGCCAACTTTTCCAACAGCATGGTTTGGTATTGTCCTCCAACTTTCCCTCCACTTTTCAGTGCCAGTGTCCTGGTTGTTCCCAGCACGCTGACCCGGTCCAAAATCACAACTGTCAGCCACTGATTGGCCAGGGGGCGGAGTCACTGCCTATCTGCTGATATGTTAGAATACCAGGAGTGATAAGATCAAGAATTGATCTATGGCTGGTTTCCCCACCGTTAGCCAACATAGTTACAGACGTTTTTATCTCTAATGCGCCTCTAACTGATCATAGCCTAATTTCTCTTAAATTAACTCCAGAGATAAACACTAAAAAAATGTTTTTTGGAAATTTAACTCTGATCTTTTAAAAGACAGTGAATTTTGCGACTTGATTAATAATCTAATGTTAGAAATTAGATTTGATGTCACAATAGGAATTTATTGCAATAGATGGTAATATTTCAAATTTAAAGTAAAGCAATCTGCAATAACTTTTGGAATTAAGAGAAGTAAATCCTTGAGAGAAAAAAAATTAAATTAATACATAAACTTGATGAATACTGTATGAAAACTCCAATGTTAAACGCAGACAGAGCCACTTATATAAACCTTAAATCTAAGTTGGACGAGCTGAGTTCTCGGAAAGCTAGAGGTGCTTTTATTAGATCAAGAGCGAAACGGCTTGAGGAAGGTGAACGCAATACCGCATACTTCTGTGGACTTGAAAAAAGACGACAGGAGAGGAATTTAATTAATTCACTCATCATCATCGATGTAGAATGCAGGGATATCAAAATTATTGCTGAAGAAGTTTATACATTTTATAAAGACCTCTATTCATCATCTGGTGGCAATGAATCAAACCTATTGGATAATATTACACATCCCATCCCAAAAATCAGTCAGGAAATTAAAATGATATGTTATGCAGAGATTGAGATATTTGAAGTAGAGGCAGCAGTCAAACAACTTTCCGCTGGGAAATCCCCAGGTCAAGATGGTCTGACATCTGGCTTTTATAAACATTTTTGGAATAATATAAAAGATCTTCTCTTTTTTGCATTACAAGAATGTATCCAAACTAAATATTTGATGCCGACTATGAAACTAGGACTCATCTCTTTGATTCCGAAGAACGGCAAAGATAAAAAAATTAATCTAAGACCAATTACGCTCCTTAATGTGGACTACAAAATACTCGCTCATGTTGTGGCTAATAGGTTCAAAGAAGGTATTTTACAAATCATCAGCGATTCCCAATCTGGGTTTATCAGGGGTCGCTCCATACATAACAACATTAGGTTGGTCCTAGATTTGTTAGATTTTTGGATTTCTGCAAAGCCTTTGACCGAGTCGACCATTCCTTCATGTTAGACACGTTACACCATTTTGGCTTTGGAACCAAGTTGTGTGAAATTGTTCAGACCTTATACAGGGATATTAATAGTACTGTACTTTTGCCATCTGGAACCTGCAAACGTTTCAACATTGAAAGAGGCATCCGACAGGGGTGTCCAGCCTCCCCTCTTCTTTTTATCATGGTCGTGGAAATTCTCAGCATTACGATTAAGAATAGTCAGAGAAATTAGATGTTTTTGGTAATTCTTTAGCTATAATTCAACTGGCAGACGATACTACGCTCTTCCTTAAAAATAAGGAACAGATCCCAGTTGCTTTACAAGTAGTTAATTGATTTTTCAGAAGCCTCGGACCTTTATTTAAACATAGATAAATGTGAATTAATGGCCATTCATGATCATCCTCAAACAACTCTGCATGGCATACCTGTTAAAGATCAAGTCAAATATTTGGGGATTACAATCTCAAAAAACTAAGAAACGAGAGTAAAATGTAATTTTGAGAGCTTAATTAAAAAGAGTAAAAGTATTTATGGCTACAAAGAGATCTCTCAATTTTTGGTAGATTACTTCTATCCAAGATGGAAGGAGTCAAGAATTATCTATCCAGCTTATTCTCTAAGAATTCCTCAAAATATTATTAAAGAAATTAACCAAAACAATTTTAACTTCATATGGAAAAACAGACATCATTATATAAGAAGGAATGACATCATCAAATCAATAGAGGAAGGGGGTCTCAATCGATTTCGATATAATGAATGGTGCACTTAAGTTAAAATGGCTACAAAATTTTAGAAATCAGATAAATACTTTGTGGTTTAATCTTCCTGCTAAAATTTTCTCCAGTGTAGGCGGAATCCAATTGCTTCTTCAATGTGACTTTGAATTATCCAAACTCCCTATTAAATTATCCAAATTTCACGAGCAAGTTCTACAATACTGTAAATTAATGTATAAACATAACTTCACACCGCACAACAAGCCAATATGGAACAACCGTTATATCCTGATTAAAAGGAAATCTTTTTTTTAATGATTGGCATCTCCATGGAGTATGGTCCATTTTGCATTTGATGGACCAGAATGGAGAATTTCTTAATTTTACGGTTTTCAATCACAAATTTAACCTAACTTGTTCTTCTAAGCAATATGCCGAGGTAATAAAGGCAATCCCACCTGCTAAATATGCTAATTTGAAAGGCACTTTGTTGTACTCTCACCTTATTCCAAAATTGCCTCCTTTAACAATTAAGAACTGTTCTTTTATGGACAGGAACTGCAATAATAAAATCCTTAGATGTTGGCTCACTGACGCCCTCTTTCCCTTACCTCTTAGAAGACGGGAATTAGTACGTCAATTTAGTAATTCTGATGTTTAAAACATTAGATGCAACTATCTCAAATTCCCAATCCCTCCTAAAGCCAAGGAAGTTCATTTTAAAACTATAAACAGTATTCATCCTTGCAAAGATTTCTTGCAGTCTAAATTTAATATTGGAGAGAACGATTGTGCCTTTTGCACTTCTAATATAGAAACTGAGATACATTTATTTTTCACATGCATCTTTACCAAAGTTTTCTGGGATAGTTTTCACTCGTAGTTAATGCATAATAATTTCATTATACACTTCTTATCCTTTTCTGACATCAAGTATGGTATTAGTTTGGAAAATAAAATGCAGCAATTCACTGTCAATAATTTCATTATTTTCGCCAAATTCTTTATACACAAATGTAAATTTGGCAATGTCAAACCGATCTTTATTGTTTTTTTTTAAAGAACTTGCATCCTTTATGGACTCTCTTACATTATGTAGTTCCAAGAAAGCCATTTGGCTCTATAACAATTTGGTGAATGTTTCCTTTACCCCTAATAATGTTGTTTGATGTAATTTTTTTGTTTGTTTGTTATGATTTCTGCAGGTTGATATTGAGCTGGGTTAATATTATTGTTTCTGTTTGTACACCTGCTTTTTTTTGTCATGCTCAGAATTCAACTGTAAATATTGATTCTTATGTAAGCCTGTAAGCTTCATTGGTTAAATAAAACTTATTAAAAAAATAGAATACCAGGAGTTTATTTATTTTGAGACCAACTCAGTGACTGCACTGTGTCGAAAATGTTTGTAAAACTAAGTCTGAGCGAAGGAGCAGCAGTAGAAAAGTGTCCTCAGCCTAAAGATACATGGTGGTCGAATTTGTTGATGTAGATGAAGAATAGGATGTGTCTCAGGACCGAATCGGTACACCTTAGAGCAGGGCTCCAGGGTCGGTGTCCAGCACGTTTTAGTGCTTTCTCTGCACCAGCACACCTGTGCAGCAGCTTATCGGGCTGTGCAGAAGCCTGTTAATCACCTGCTGACTGAAATCAGCTGTGCTGAAGCAGGGTTATAACTAAAACGTGCAGGACACCGGCCCTTAGAGAAGAGGGGAGAACCGTCCGAGTAGAAGCCTGATCTAGTCATGATGATTAGCTGCGTAGCTGTCACCTCTTTTTAGCCATGTGAGCTTAAACTGGACCCTGTCTGCAAAATGCGTCCAGAACCCGACCGATCATCAAGTAATAGATCAGACAACCAGCGGCTGGCGTCACCAATGCACCTGAGCGGGTTTCTGATGTCAGACCCGATCAACCACTAAATCAGTCTTGCTTCTGATCAGGTCTTTCCATCCTAGCAGTTAGCTGTCATCGATCAGATACATACGTGACGTAATCGATCAGACTGATTGGGCCTCTCATCATAAGGAGGGGGGTCCTTTCTCGTAGTTTGAACAGAGGCTGTTAGCAACTTCCAGGCCTGTTAGCATTAGCTTAGAGCCGGTCCGTACCGCTGAAACAGCCGCCGCCATTTAGCTCCGCCTCGGATCCTCTCCCCGGAGTCGCAGCGCTTTCCCCGGATCTCTGAACAAGTCTGCGCCCGCTCTGCGGCTCCTACCTGTCCAGCTCAGGTGTGAACTTAGATATTAAAGGAATGAGCAGGCGACTGATTTGCGCCATTTCTATGCAGACGTCCTACGTCAGCACGTCCGCCATATTGGGGAGTGAGAGGTCTCCATGGAGACCGAAACTAAAGGCTTAATCATATTTCCTGTAGATTATTATTCACTTGACTTTTGTTAAAATGCAATTTCAGTATTAAAAACTTCCGATCAAATTATCCCGGTTCCATCAACAAGTCCTTTTATATTGGAAACTTTTATACAATCATAATTTCACTCCACACAACACGCCAATTTGGAACAATAGATATATTACAATTAAAAATAAGTCATTATATAAGAAAGACTGGATGGACAAAGGCATTTGGTCCCTAATTCATTTAACTGATAAAGATGGGCGTGTGATGACCCATGAACATTTCTGTTATAAATATAATATCACAGTCATAGGCGTCATTTTAACCGGGGACGCTGGGGACATGTCCCCGGCAAAATTTGTGATTGGCAGCTGTGTCCCCCCCACTTTCAAAAACGCCTGCTGATGAGGATTTTTGTTTTACCAGCTCAGATCTTATACCAGGGGTCGGCAACCTGTTCCCATCAAAGAGCCATTATTACCCGTTTCCCACGGTAATTTTGGACAGACCTTAATAAGCAGTGACTTAAGTGAAGCAGGCAGGTCGCGCTAGAAAATTTCGTTTAAAAAGATGTCATAAATGTGTTCCCCCGTCATTTTTATTACTAAAATATGAAGTAAAAACTCACAATTTAATTTTCATTCATTTGTCATTAATATGTAGTCTACACCCGTGCGTTAAGTGGACCATCTTCCAGTAAACGCACAGCATCCAGTCCACCTCTCCAAATGCGTAAAATGTGCATCAGCCGCTAGTTAGGCGCGCGCGCACCATCAGCTGATCAGCCCAGACAAGAGCAGAGCAACTAGAGAAAGTATAGAGGATAATTGTGTCTGGATGTGGATGGAGATTACATTTTACAGCAGCCTGATCATCATTTAAATACGTAAACCATCACCTGTCTTCTAGTCCATGCTATCAGCATTATTTTATATTTTAATTGGTGTGTGTGTGTGTGTGTGTGTGTGTGTGTGTGTGTGTGTGTGTGTGTGTGTGTGTGTGTGTGTGTTTTCCACTTCAAACACTGGTCTAACCAACCAGACCAGCGTGTCCAGTAACATATTAATGTTACACTTCATGTAGGCTAGGAACGTTTCACCTGCCGTGGCCCGACCGCTTCTGCTCCACATAAACTTTGTGCGTGATCAAATGTCTATACGCTTCATGCGTCTCCATATTAGAGACGGGAACAAGCGCTGTTCAGCCAAAGTTTCATCATTTCATAAAAAGAACATTTTCCAAGTGACACATCCCTCAGAGAGACTGGGTTTCCAGACTGTTTCAGTGGGAGGAAATCATCGCATGCGCGTGGTTCTGCACTGCGCTGGAACCCCAGATCTTCAGCTCACTGTCCACCGGGGGCGCTCCGAGCCGCGCTGAACACAGTGTCCAGTATAAAGAGCTCTGATGTTCTGATGGGAATATTTTACCTCCGCGATGTGCGTTAACGATTAAAATGTCAGCTCATCCATGAGCATCCGTGTGCGTCTGGGTAATTATTTCAAACCAAGCAACATCCTTGAGTTCATCTGTCAAAATAAACAGTCAAATGGAAATATATGTAACCTGCCGTTTAACTGTTTTGCCTTCCTGTGAAGATTGTTGCAAAGAGAAACAATTAAACTTGATTAACCCTAGAGCCACGCAGAGAACCATGCAGTGCGCATGCGGGAAGATTCCTCCCACTGAAGCGAGTGTTTTCCAAACCCCGTCTCTCAGAGAGACTTGTCACTTAGAAAATGTTCCCTGATTATGAAACTTTGGCTGAATAGCGCTTGTTCCTGGCTCCAATGTGGCGACACATCCAGGAGCCATCTGAGGAGAAGCCCAGAATCTCACATCCTCTTCAGCTCATAAAGTGCCGATGTGATTACGCACAAAGCGTGACCGGTCAACCACCGCAGACCGGGTTGGACCTGTTCAGGTTTACGCAGACAATCTACATTTAGAATTGGCATACAGGTGTAAAATTAATGCAGTAAAATATAAAGCATTTCATTGAAATATCCATTTATTATTTTACAAGCACAGAGAGCTTCATCAGATGGATGGAAGAGCCGCATGCGGCTCCAGAGCCGCGGATTGCCGACCCCTGTGCTAGCCTACTTTATTGTCCCCAGCAATTGTTAAACCCCACTCAAATGTATGGTTATTGTCCCCAGCAATTCTGAAAACAAACTGACGCCCTTGATCACAGTTGATCAGAATTCATTCGCTTCCATAATAAGAGCCATCCCTATTCCTACATTAAATCTAATTCAAGAAATTATTTCGAACTCTCATTCAGTCTCCCCTACTCTTCCTCATCTAGTAGCTGGGAACTTTGACTTCAATAGTGTTAAAATTCCTAATAAAACAATTAGAAAAATGCTTGATGATATTTCACACCCTTCACTGCCTTTCAGAAATTCCATTAAACAAATTTTCTCCATAGATATTATATTCTCATTACGTTCTAAATACCCCAAATTTCCTATAACTCCAAAAGCCAAAGAAATCCATTATAGAGTTTTAAATGACATATACCCATCTGGGGAATTCTTACGACAGAGATGTGGTTTTGAAACAAATAAGTGTGTATTTTGTGATTATATAGAAACCTCTGTTCATTTATTTTTTCAATGCATTTACTCTGAAGCTCTCTGGACTGATATCCATGACTGGCTATACACAAAGATACATATTGAACCCTTTTCTGAGAACGATGTCATTTACGATGCCATATTAGATAACACTGAATGGGACTTTCTGGTAAATAACAATCATTGTAGCTAAATTTTACATTCACAAATGTAGATATGGAGATGTGAAGCCTAGATTCTATGCATTTCATAACGAGTGTCTCTCTTTATCCAAAGGCCTTAAATTTATGAAAAACATGCAATGAAACTCCTTAATCTTTTTGAAAAGTATGATTTGAAAACAAAGCCCTAGCTCTTTGTCTCTTTTGTTAATTTAATATTTATTTTATTTTATTTATTTATTTTTTTGTTTGATTGTTTGTTCGTTTCCTTCACAAATACTCTTGCTTTCTATGCAAAGTCTCTTTTGTTATTTTTTTGCACCTGATCCCGGGTAATGTAAAACAAAGGAATTTATGCCATGTTGTTTGTAAATGAAAAAATTCAATTAAAAAATATATATATTCACTTGACTTGTTTATAAGAGTCAATAAAGTAATAATATTTAATAAAATGTTTCCCATCAGGAGCCCCAGGTTGTCAGGACATGGTGGGAAGATTACCAACCACTGAAGAGGAGGAAAGGATGGTTTATTTACATTCTGATTCCACGTGGAATTATCTCATGGTCTCTGCACCGACACCAGTAATCCTGCTATAATCTTTAGTTTGAATACATCTGATTTATAGTTACTGGTTTTGTTCTGGTATGTTGTAAATGTCTTGCTTGCATTTTGTACTTTATTGTGAAAAGAAAAGTGTGTGTGTGTGTGTGTGTGTGGGGGGGGGGGTCAGGTCGCGGAGCGCCCGTTGATTGATGGAAGAGGAAGGAATAAAGGCGTGTGAGGATGTTAGTGATGAGCAGAGCCTCACCTGGAAAAGAGACGAGAGCAGTCCAAGCCCCCATAATAAAATCTAAGCTCAGCTCGGCAGTGACCTAAAATACATAAATATAATTTTACTTACCGAAATAAATGAAGTGGAGACTCCTTGGACGCTCTGTTAGTGCAATTAATGCCACAGCAAGTCATTTTGTCCAACAATTGCATAAAAAATATCCAAAACAGAATACACAAGCACAGAGACTCAAAATGCCGGAGCAAGTCCAAGCCAGACCAAGGCTCTACTGAGGCCTTTCCACGGAGCTAGCTCTGCAGTCACGTGGGTCCGATGCTCATTAATTATACAGAATTTTAGGCTTTTAATACACTTAAACAGAAGAGTGAGAAAAAAAATTGCCCCCCTCAGAGTTGTCATGAGTGTAAACTAGATAATTTAAACAAAAAACATGTTTTGGTACCAGGCTGTAAACATGTTTATTTCTGCTGTGAAATTGGTATTTTTAACATGGGAGTCAATGAGGATTTGCTCGCTTCTGACACCAGCCCCCAGCGGATGAGGGTGGAACTGCAATTTTTGGTATTTCCGGGTTGGCCTCAATTTTTGAGCCGCATTGTGGGGGCTTGGGTAAAACCCAGTGCATTTAACATAACGCTGCATTTTAGAAAATGGGTTGAAATATAACATGTTGGTGGAGCTGGGTTCCGACTATCGGCTTGTGGAGCTCTCGGGAGACCTCTGTTTTCCACCCGTTTCTCCCCTCCCCGCAGCTCGGCGCATCTCTGTCTGATCGCGGCTTCTGTTTGATGCGCGGGCTGCCGGCTTGTGGAGCTCTGGGGTGGAAACCTTTCCACCTGGTTCTCCCCAGCGGCAGCTCTGCGCATCTCAGATCGCAGCGGCGCTTGTCTGCTGTGCGGCTGCTGGCTTGTGGAGGTCTGGAGACCTCTGTGTTCCACCCGGGTCAGCCTGGCGTATCTCTGACTCAGAAGCTCTGGTGTTGTGCACAGTTAACTCCGGTTGTAGCTAGGTTGCTACCTCCGTTAGCTTAGCTCCCATCTCCGCGTTAGCTTTGGGTTAGCCAGGGTTAGCTTCAGGTTAGCTTGTAGCTAGTTCAACCGAGTGATGTCAGTTGATCCAAGCCTTACAGCCCCACCCTCAGCTCCTCCTATCTTCCCTTTTGTGGAATTGTCTGGGCTTGACAGAACCTGTGAAACGGTCAAAATGGCGGTGGTGGCCACCTCCCATTTGGCCTCAAAAACGTGATATTGGAGCCTATGGAAAGGAGATGTCCAGTATCTTTATGTTGATGGAGCAGACAGACTAGAGGGTGTGGCTAAAAGTCGGCGTTTTAAGTCAGACACATTTCCCTGCATGTAGCTTGTGGTGACGATGGCTGAAGATATCGCGTTATCGTTCATATTTGTTTACTTTTAATTCTGGTGCCTGTTTGCAACTGAAACACATCCTCACAAGCTTGTGGATATCATATATTATAGACGTGCATATATAGACATGACTGTAATAAGATATTATATATTATAGACATGTGCATATATAGACATGACTGTAATAAGATATTATATATTATAGACATGTGCATATATAGACATGACTGTAATAAGATATATATTATAGACATGTGCATATATAGACATGACTGTATTAAGATATTATATATTATAGACATGTGCATATATAGACATTACTGTAATAAGATATTATATATTATAGACATGTGCATATATAGATATGACTATAATAAGATATTATATATTATAGACATGTGCATATATAGATATGACTATAATAAGATATTATATATTATAGACTTGTGCATATATAGACATGACTGTATTAAGATATTATATATTATAGACATGTGCATATATAGACATGACTGTAATAAGATATTATATATTATAGACATGTGCATATATAGACATGACTGTAATAAGATATATATTATAGACATGTGCATATATAGACATGACTGTATTAAGATATTATATATTATAGACATGTGCATATATAGACATGACTGTAATAAGATATTATATATTATAGACATGTGCATATATAGATATGACTATAATAAGATATTATATATTATAGACATGTGCATATATAGATATGACTATAATAAGATATTATATATTATAGACTTGTGCATATATAGACATGACTGTATTAAGATATTATATATTATAGACATGTGCATATATAGACATGACTGTAATAAGATATTATATATTATAGACATGTGCATATATAGACATGACTGTAATAAGATATATATTATAGACATGTGCATATATAGACATGACTGTATTAAGATATTATATATTATAGACATGTGCATATATAGACATGACTGTAATAAGATATTATATATTATAGACATGTGCATATATAGATATGACTATAGTAAGATATTATATATTATAGACTTGTGCATATATAGACATGACTGTATTAAGATATTATATATTATAGACATGTGCATATATAGACATGACTGTAATAAGATATTATATATTATAGACATGCGCATATATAGACATGACTGTATTAAGATATTATATATTATAGACATGTGCATATATAGATATGACTGTAATAAGATATATATTATAGACATGTGCATATATAGACATGACTGTATTAAGATATTATATATTATAGACATGTGCATATATAGACATGACTGTAATAAGATATATATTATAGACATGTGCAAATATAGACATGACTGTATTAAGATATTATATATTATAGACGTGCATTGTTAGATATGACTGTAATAAGATATTATATATCATAGACATGTGCATATATAGATATGACTGTAATAAGATATATATTATAGACATGTGCATATATAGATATGACTGTAGATATATATTATAGACATGTGCATATATAGACATGACTGTATTAAGATATTATATATTATAGACATGTGCATATATAGATATGACTGTAATAAGATATATATTATAGACATGTGCATATATAGACATGACTGTAATAAGATATTATATATTATAGACGTGCATTGTTAGATATGACTGTAATAAGATATTATATATCATAGACATGTGCATATATAGATATGACTGTAATAAGATATATATTATAGACATGTGCATATATAGATATGACTGTAGATATATATTATAGACATGTGCATATATAGACATGACTGTAATAAGATATATATTATAGACATGTGCATATATAGACATGACTGTATTAAGATATTATATATTATAGATGTGCATTGTTAGATATGACTGTAATAAGATATTATATATCATAGACATGTGCATATATAGATATGACTGTAATAAGATATATATTATAGACATGTGCATACATATACATGACTGTATTAAGATATTATATATTATAGATGTGCATTGTTAGATATGACTGTAATAAGATATTATATATCATAGACATGTGCATATATAGATATGACTGTAATAAGATATATATTATAGACATGTGCATATATAGACATGACTGTATTAAGATATTATATATTATAGACGTGCATTGTTAGATATGACTGTAATAAGATATTACATATCATAGACATGTGCATATATAGATATGACTGTAATAAGATATATATTATAGACATGTGCATATATAGATATGACTGTAGATATATATTATAGACATGTGCATATATAGACATGACTGTAATAAGATATATATTATAGACATGTGCATATATAGACATGACTGTATTAAGATATTATATATTATAGATGTGCATTGTTAGATATGACTGTAATAAGATATTATATATCATAGACATGTGCATATATAGATATGACTGTAATAAGATATATATTATAGACATGTGCATACATAGACATGACTGTATTAAGATATTTATTATAGACATGTGCATATACAGATATGACTGTAATAAGATATATATTATAGACATGTGCTTATATAAACATGACTATATTAAGATATTATATATTATAGATGTGCATATATAGATATGACTGTAATAAGATATAATATATTATAGACATGCATATATAGATATGACCGTAATAAGATATTATATATTATAGACGTGTATATAGACATGACTGTAATAAGATATATATTATAGACATGTGCATATATAGACATGACTGTATTAAGATATTATATATTATAGACATGTGCATATATAGACATGACTGTAATAAGATATTATATATTATAGACATGTGCATATATAGACATGACTGTAATAAGATATATATTATAGACATGTGCTTATATAAACATGACTATATTAAGATATTATATATTATAGATGTGCATATATAGATATGACTGTAATAAGATATTATATATTATAGACGTGCATATATAGATATGACTGTAATAAGATATTATATATTATAGACGTGCATATATAGACATGACCGTAATAAGATATTATATATTATAGACATGCATATAGACATGACTGTAATAAGATATATATTATAGACATGTGCATATATAGACATGACTGTATTAAGATATTATATATTATAGACATGTGCATATATAGACATGACTGTAATAAGATATATATTATAGACATGTGCATATATAGACATGACTGTAATAAGATATATATTATAGACATGTGCATATATAGACATGACTGTATTAAGATATTATATATTATAGACATGTGGATATATAGACATGACTGTATTAAGATATATATTATAGACATGTGCATATATAGACATGTGCATATATAGACATGACTGTAATAAGATATATATTATAGACATGTGCATATATAGACATGACTGTATTAAGATATTATATATTATAGACATGTGCATATATAGACATGACTGTAATAAGATATATATTATAGACATGTGCATATATAGACATGTGCATATATAGACATGACTGTATTAAGATATATATTATAGACATGTGCATATAGATATGACTGTAATAAGATATTATATATTATAGACATGTGCATATATAGACATGACTGTATTAAGATATATATTATAGACATGTGCATATATAGATATGACTGTAATAAGATATATTATAGATATGTGCTTAGACATGACTATAGCCAGGCGTTTCATGTCAGGCCCTGTTTAGCAGCCGGTGGAGAGCAACTGCAGCGCCTTGCTCCAAAATCTTTAGTTACATTGCCTACTTAGGCATGACGTCAGAGCAAGTCGGACAAATCTAACCGGCATGCACTGCGTGCTGATCACCGGTGATCTAATGTGCACAGAACTGGCTCATCTGGAACATGGCCAATAACTGAATCAGATGATTTCACTGCTAATCTTGAACAAACCCATCCAGACTGACCTCTGGCCCAACAGAACCAGAACCTCATGGTACCAGTCTGATGGACTTCTGGTCACTAAAAATCAGTCCCAAGAACATGTTTATCAACTTTAATGACAATAAAAGCAGTCATACACATGCCAGAACCGGTGTTCTTCACCTCTTGTATGCATCTGATGTCACTTCCTCTACAAAACTGTCAGAATAAAATACTCTGTAATTAATCATAAATAATGAAATGATAAAAAAACACGATTCAGTTTCTATTCATCTGATATAAGCAGGAGCCCAGAAATTTTTTTTATTTGGAATTTTAAAACTATTCATTAATTTCAGCTACAGTCCAACAAAAATACAAATAACATCTTCTGTGTCAAATTTCTCTTCTTATCCAATTAAAACATTTCTGTAACTCAGAACATCAAAATGATGCTTCAACCCAAGAAGTAGGTGGTTCAGTTTCCTGTTGGGGTGGTGCCGTTTCCTGTTGGGGTGGTTCCATGTCACTTTGGGGTGGTTCTGTTTCCTGTCGAGGTGGTTCTGTGTCATGTCGGGATCGTTCTGTGTCATGTCGGGGTAGTTCCATTTCCTGTTGGGGTGGTTCCGTTTCCTGTTTGGGTAATTCAGTTTCCTGTCGGGGTAGTTCAGTTTCCTGTCGGGGTGGTTCAGTTTCCTGTTTGGGTGGTTCTGTGTCATGTCGGGGTGGTTTCGTTTTGTCGGGGTGGTTCCGTTTCCTGTCGGGGTGGTGCTGTTTCCTGTCGGGGTCACCCAACATGGATCAGGTGACAGCTGCAGTATGCAGGCTCTGTTAACAGTTCTGTTGAATAAACAGAAATGAGTTTCGGATTAAATTCTGTTGGTTCCAGTCCAGATTCAGAATCTTACATGCTCCAAAGTTTCTGCAGGTGACAGCCTGTAATGTTACGGTTCTGGTTCAAGAACATTAAAAAGATGTAGAAAGAAGTTCTAGCATATGGACCGGTGATCAGAGTAGAACTAGACAAAGTGTTACAGAGGAGCCCAGTAGACCCTTCCAACAGAACATCTGGATGTCTCTCAAGGTTCTGCTGGAAGTTTTAGACTCAACCCTTTTAAAGAGCTCTGGGGCCGGTTCTGAAGGGTTGGTTTGGGTCTGTGGACATGATGCTGAGGATACTTTGGTTCTGAAATGCAGTTTGGGGGTTCTGATTGTGTCTTTTGGGTCAGATGCAACAGCCTCAGTGTCTGTAACAGCTAACAGAACCTTAGAAAACTTGAATGAAAATCCAGAATCACAACTTTGTGTCCATCCAGTCTGATGGTTCTGACCCAGAACATCAGTAGCGGTTCTAGAAGGGCACGCCTCCAGAGATCTGGCGGGCCACCTGCTCATCCTGACTCTCCTCCCGATCCTGACGGTTCTGGTTCCAGTCCTTCAGGCCCTCGGGCAGCGTTGTGTCCTCGTCCTCACCACCGGTTCCCTCCACAAACTCCTCATACGTGGACTTCTCAGCGAATGGTCGCTTCCCTAGAAGGTCCACCATGTCGCTCTTATCAAGAACCTCCCTCTCCAGGAGCCGCTGGGCCACCTGGAAACAGAACAGAACCAGCATGAAACACAGTTCTACAAGGCTGGCCTGGTTCTAGGTTAAAGAGCTCACAGCGATAATGACCCGAACCCAGCTGATTCAGAACCTCTACGTCAGGTTGAACCAAGAAACATACCAGGTGTGGTGTTCCTGGTCCTCACAACAACTTAGCTTGGACTTTTGAAACTGAGTGCTACAGTTCTGTTTAGCCTAAATGGTGCCGCATTCGGCCCAGTCAGACCCTAGAGACAGAACTCAAACTGACATCTGGTGTGGGAGATATTCAATTCAACTCAACTCAATTCAATTCAAAAAAACTTTATTAATCCCAGAGGGAAATGGATATCAGAACCATCTTAACCTGGTGTAGTGTACCAATGGTCAAGTTTCATCAAAATCACCAGAAATACATTTTTATCTGCAGACACACACTGTCACACACCCAGAGAGGCGTTCTGTGTGGCCTCCGAACAAGAAAGCCAGGATCTACGACAGATCTTGAACTACACCATATCAGTGTTTGTTGATTTAACAAGTTCATCTATCAGTGAACTCATACATCTTATCAATGTTAAGGTTTAACTTTCACTCCACAGAGCTAACCTCTCCATGTATAAGAGTGAAGAAGTGACCTTCTGAGGTGTTTTGCTAACGCCTTCAAACTTGTCAAATCCTGATCTGCCAAATGTGTCAAACAGGAATTTCTTCCCGACCGAGTCGGTTTCCAGCTGCCTTCTGGTTTGGCCAAACCAGTGAGCAAGCATTTGAGACCATCCTCTCTAAGTTCTGACCTCAGGTCTAAACATTGCTCTGCAATGCTTGTGAGTGATTTCAGACACAACGGCTCTTTTAAGAGCCACCGAACAACCGTAGACGCAAGATCGGCACTCCTGCATCCTGCCGTCACCTGGGGATAACCCAAACTAGACGGGTCATAATCGGAGCCGTCTACGGGCTCTGGTACCTAAGATCCACGCCATCGGCAGCGTCCATCTCGACTTCCTGATCTCCTGGACCGCACGGGGATCTCCACACAAGGGTGCGTAGACCGGCACAAATTTCATATATAAAGTTTAGCTCAGACTCCACAAACTCTCTGATAGTTAAGAAAGGTTTTCATCTAGCTCACGTTCCATCTTTTCATCCATTATATTCCACCATCATTCATACCTTGTCTTGTATAATTATTAGTTTAGGGAAATAAAATAAATTCATTCATAAATTATAAACTGACTGTCTGAATTAATACGAAGTGTGTTTATGGTCCCTGAACAAGTAAAATAAACTAAAATCTTCTGATTAAACATTCAAAGATCGATCAGGTTGATATTTCATATTCATATGGAATCATCACATCTTATTGGTCATCTGTTGCAGATGTACCATCTCCTTAAGGCTACACTGGTTTAGAACCTCAGCCTAACCGCGGCTTTCCACGGGAGCCGTCAGCAGCACGTCATAGCTGCTGATAGGAACCGCTGTGGTCAACAGAACCTTTTCCACCGGAGCCGTCAGCAGCGCGAGTCGGCCGCGTCTCAGGAGCAGCATGTCGCGGCCTTTACGCACCGGTTCTATTTTCTACGCGCGACGCCTCTGAAACGGGTCAAGTTCGACATTTTTGGGGAAGGAAAGACAGGAAATCGGACGCGGAAATGGAGAGAAGCTGCCAAGATTTTCAGAATAAAGAACGTACTGCTTTCCGGTTGCTTTACTTTTAAAACAAGTTACTAAATGTGCGTCCCCGTGAGAAGTTATCACCTAGCTAGCGGTCTCCTTTGTTTTTCAGGTCCGTATTGGCGATTATAAAATGGACAGAACATAAAACACAAACCATGTTGTAATTTTCTCCTGCTTGTTGTTGTGTTTACTGACGAAGTCACTCGTGTGACTTCGTGCTTGGTCGGTGACAGCTGCTCCCCTGCTGCTTCACGTCTCGTGGGAAGGGCCAAGCAGCAGCTTACGTGAGCAAGACGTGCTGCTGCAGTAACGTGCTGCTGACGGCTCCCGTGGAAACCCGGGGTAAGATGGGGAGTTTTTTCTCTTTTTTTTTCGTGTCCTGTCTGGCTGTGAAGCAAACAGAACTGACGTCTGAATGCTGGTGACAAGCCTTACAGATTTACTCTCAGGTGGCGCATCAAAGCGTCTGCTTTTAATGTCACGCCTGATACTTAAAACTTTATTATTATTTTTTGAATGCTTGTAATTCTGACCAGACACAGAGACAGAGGTGAAAGAGAAAAGAAGAGACAAAATGTGGGTGGGGGTGGTGGTGGTGGTGGTGGGGGGGGGTCCACTAAAATAAACAGTCGATGAACAAGAGTCTGCTTCTAGACCTGCAGAAAGAGAAAAACAACACAGCAATACAACAGGAGCAAGCTATCACTGCGTCAACTTGATGAGGAAATGTAAAATCAACATTGTTTTACTGAACAATCACGATAATAAATCACAGTGCATTTAGTGCCAACCACAGCCTCAAGACATGTGTTGAACATGTCCAAGTCCAAACTTATGAGAGCACCACGTGAGCATCTGTGTGTGTAAGGTTTCTCTATAGGAGCGTCGAATAGAGTGTGAGGGGCCACTGGTCTGCCCCTCAAAGATGTGTAGGAGATGGAGGGAGCTCCAAGTCCCAGAGAACCAGGAGCTGCCCCAGAGCGCAGGGACCCCAAGGAGACCGCGACCATAAAAGCCCCCGCCCCCCCTCGAGAGGCGCAGAGGATCGCCTCGGGGGGCCACAACCAGCAGCCGGCAGAGTACCGGGAGATATCGGCGGCAAGCCCACAGCCTCCCATCCCCCAGCCGTCTGAGCCTGGGACCCAGCAATGCGGGTCCCAGGGGTCACCACCCCCTGCCGGGGACCCAGCAGAGGCCAGGGACCCAGGTACCACCAGGCAGCCACCGGGATTGATCAGGCAGACACCAAAAATCTTAAACCCCCTGACCCGGGAGCCAGGAACACTCAAGCAAACCAAGGGAGCACACTCCACACCAGGTGTGGCAGGTGGAGTGGAGACTAAGATGTATAGCATCAAAAGAAGTCCTAGGAGAGGGGAGGAGTCCAAGACCCCACCTGACATATACAGTCATACACAGACACAGTCTCACACTCCCTCCCTCATGCTCACACACACACACATACAACCTAAGACTTACAAAAATGCACGCCGGACACCCACTCATGCTCCCCATACACACCCTATTCACTCTGGTCCCGGTACTGCTGCACATGGGGTACAACCATTACCGGTTCCCAGAGTGTGACCCTTTCTGCTTGAGTCCTGATGAGCAGGCTCCCCCGCCCAACGCTGAGCAAAGCAACCCACCACCCCACACCCCAACCAGACGGTCAGATCTCCCTCCTAGCCTCCAGCCCCAGGAAGCCAAGCGACAACAGAGGTGTGCTAAGACCCCTAGTCTCCCTCCGCCTGCTCCAATATAGTGTTAGTGCGTGTTGATGAGGTGTATTCCATGGCTGTGGTGAGCGGGAGTGCGGGCATCGTCTGGCCTACGCCAGCTGATGCCACCACACCACCCCACTTGCACCCACAGCCCTCTGTGTCTAAGTGCAGTTTAAAATTGGAAGTGGGCACCGGCACTCGGGATGTGGCTGAAAAATCTAAATGCCAAATGCTGTTGAATGTGCTCACTCCCAAGGCCCTAAAAAGTGTGTTTGCGTGGAATGTTGTTGGTGGAAGTGTTTAAGGTGCAAATAAAATTGGGGGGCAGGTTGCCACAGGAATGTGGAAATGGGGTCCATACCCACACCCCCTGACTTGGTGGGGAGTTTATTCTGTCAACAACCCCGAACCTGCACCAACACATCTTACGAAACCATCTGGGGTCCAGCAGAAACGGGTCTAGACCTGGAACCAGGCTAGGAATTGGTACCTTCTCCACCTCTGCCTTCTTGTCATTAAGCAGCTGCTGGGTTCTCCTGTATGCCTCGCTGATCAGAACTCGGACCTCTGTGTCGATCAGGCGGGCCGTGGCCTCGCTGTAGGGCTTCTCCAGAACCATCTCGCCCTGCCGGGGCAGGTCGAAGGACACCTGACCCACCTTGGGGTTCATTCCAAACTGAACAATCTGGGGAAGAACAGAGAGCAGTAGAAGAAAGAGAAAGATTTTTTGTAAGTTAAAACTCACAAGGTGCTTCACAGACTCAGTACAGTGTGGCTTACCACAGCTCCCCTCAGAGGACCTGGTTTCCCCTCATAGCGTATGGGAGGGGTCTTTACTCGAGACAAAAATAGCACCAGGTGATCAGTAAACAATGTGAGGTGATCTGCAAACCCAGATCACACACACAAGGTGACCTCCCACTTCAGAAGCAGCAAAGATACACAGAGCCTATGGCAGGGACCCACGCCCGCCTACCGGAGCTGGGAGAGCGACACCTCCCTGCTCATCAGCCCACAGAACATCTCACCGCCACTGCACGACCAGACTCTGTGCCTGTCTGCCGCCAGAGTGAAGAGGGATAGGCAGACTAACGTTATTGTGAGGGTCTGCTGGGAACGTCTGGCGGAGTATGCTCTCAGAAAGCACTTCAATTTCCATCTCCGACAACCTTTCCAACACATACCGGGGCGGCGGGGGACTGGCTTTGGTATTTTTATCATTGTATCGCACCATTTTTAATTGTTTGAATGCTGTAAAGCATTCAAACTATAGTGATCCCGTTTCTCTTCATAGTTGTTTGAATGCTGCAATGCATTCAAACTTTTGGTATTAAAATATTTTATACTTTGAGAAATTTAGCTTTTTCTGCGATTTTTGGTCCCATTGAAATGAATGGGATTGCTCAATTTTCAGCTAAATCCTATCACTTTTTTGAACTCTTACTCTTATAGGTTAACTTTAACCTAGAGACTTCATTCAAGTTTCAACAAACTCACAACACTTTCAGCTATTGCTGGTTAAAAATCTTTTTGATATCTATTACAGTTTTTCTAAAATCACAGGTAGAAGTTGAGGTACGGCTTGAGATTTTCAGAAAAAAAATCACAAAAATTATAATGGGCAGAGATGGGAACAATGACCCTCCTTTGCTCCATTTCTGGCATTGTCCTGAGAAAACCTCAAGTCCGATTGAAATTAGACACATGCTGGCTTACAACTAACGGACATACCTTTGTTTTGAGCTATAAATCATGAATGTACTCCACACATTGTGGTCGTACGGTTCATTTATTTGACAATATTCAAATAAAAAAAATGTGTCTCACCATTCTAAACTGAAAATTCCGCACTAACTTTTGAACTTCAGATCTTCTGTGAACAGCTCTTTACTACCCCCAGACCGTTTGGACAACTGAAACAAATTATATCTCAAAAAGTAGGAATTTTTGTCAGCTTTTCAGAATGCATTTCAATTTGTCCTTAAGTGTTACATTTCTTTCTCTACAAGCCTCAGAAGGAGAGAGCCTGATTCTGTCTCATTGAAACCCATGTTAAAGGAACAGAGATTTTCTCCTCCGATCGGCTTCAGACAGCTAAAATGTTTTCGTCATAGATTCTAGACAATTCATGGTAGGCACATAAAAAATCAAACATATGACCATCAAAGCCTTCTGCCACTCACACTTTTGAATTTTTCCAATAGGTGCAGCAGATTTTGAATGGCGATAAGTCGTGTCAGAGGTCTGAAATGACATCTGAGCAGCTGAGCTCTGTTAACTGCATGATTTATGAAATATTGAAACAAAAATTTCCACCGACCACATCTTTTACTGTACACTAAGGATATTCTCAAATTTTATTTTGTCCGCTTCAAAGTAATGTCTTTGGTTTTGCTGTTGGGATTACATTTTTTGTGCTACAAGCCCCAGAAGGAGGACTGTGCCAGCTTTCCTCCATTTAAATCCCTTTAAAAAAAGGCACCTGTGGCCCACAGACAGCTGAAATGCTCTCGTCATATCTGCTAGAACATTTGTGGTAGGCACAAAATACTTCCCACACACGACCCTAAAGCCTTCTGCCGCCCACGCTTTTTGAATTTTTCAAATCGGTGCAGTACTTTTCGAATGGTGATGAGAAGTTTGACAAGTCCAATTTCACTTCTGAAGGACAGATTTAAAGGCTTCTCTCATTAACAGGAGTACAGCTGCAGGCCTCCAACAGCCGGGGGAAAAGGCGGGAAAACAGTGCTGCTCTCTGATTGGTTGAGAGTGTTCAACCATTTTCTGTCCAAGCAGGATCGAGCACCCACACATATGATACATCAAATCGACCAGCTTGGTCTCCGGAATCTTGTATTGAATTTTAAATGTGTTATCTGTTACCATGGTAACACAAGTGCATAAGGATATCCTCAAACAAGTCGCACTGAAATGAATGTGAAAAGCCTTAAATTGAGCCTAACATACTGCTGTTTCTCATCTTTCTGAGCTCTATACACTTAAAACTAGCAGCATAGCTGACATTTTAACACTAGTCAGAAGGCACGAACCGCCCCCTCCTCCTTCCTGCTCTCTCATTGGCTGAGAGTTTTCAATCGTCTTCTGCCTAAAAGGAAATATGCACCCACACATACAGGTGCTGGCCAGTAAATTAGAATATCATCAAAAGGTTGAAAATATTTCAGTAATTCCATTCAAAACGTGAAACTTGTACATTATATTCATGCAATGCACACAGACCAATGTATTTCCAATGTTCATTACATTTAAATTTGATATTCATAAGTGACAACTAATGAAAACTCCAAATTTGGTATCTCAAAAAATTAGAATATTCTGAAAAGGCTGAATATAGAAGACACCTGCTGCCACTCTAATCAGCTGATTTACTCAAAACACCTGCAAAGGCCTTTAAAAGGTCCCTCAGTCTTGTTTTGAAGGCACCACAATCATGGGGAAGACTTCTGACTTAACAGCTGTCCAAAAGACAATCATTGACACCTTGCACAAGGAGGGCAAGACACAAAAGGTGATTGCTAAAGAAGCTGGCTGTTCGAAGAGCTCTGTGTCCAAGCACATTAACAGACAGGCGAAGGGACGGAAAAAATGTGGTAGAAAAAAGTGTACAAGCTCTAGGGATAACCGCACCCTGCAGAGAATTGTGACGACAAACCCATTCAAAAATGTGGGGGAGATCCACAAAGAGTGGACTGCAGCTGGAGTCAGCGCTTCAAGAACCACCACGAGGAGACTCATGAAAGACATGGGATTCAGGTGTCGCATTCCGTGTGTCAAGCCACTCTTGAACAAGAAACAGCGCAAGAAGCGTCTCGCCTGGGCCAAGGACAAAAAGGACTGGACTGATGCTGAGTGGTCCAAAGTTATGTTTTCTGATGAAAGCAAGTTCTGCATTTCCTTTGGAAATCAAGGACCCAGAGTCTGGAGGAAGAGCGGAGAAGCACAGAATCCACGTTGCATGAGGTCCAGTGTAAAGTTTCCACCGTCAGTGATGGTGTGGGGTGCCATGTCATCTGCCGGTGTTGGCCCACTCTGTTTCCTGAGGTCCAGGGTCAATGCAGCCGTCTACCAGGAAGTTTTAGAGCACTTCATGCTTCCTGCTGCTGACCAACTTTATGGGGACTCAGACTTCACCTTTCAACAGGACTTGGCACCTGCACACAGTGCCAAAACCACCAGCACCTGGTTCAAGGACCATGGTATCCCTGTCCTTGATTGGCCAGCAAACTCGCCTGACCTTAACCCCATAGAAAATCTATGGGGTATTGTGAAGCGGAGGATGCAATACGCTAGACCCAACAATGCAGAGGAGCTGAAGACGACTATCAGAGCAACCTGGGCTCTCATAACACCTGAGCAGTGCCACAGACTGATCGAGTCCATGCCACGCCGCATTACTGCAGTTATTGAGGCAAAAGGAGCCCCGACTAAGTATTGAGTGCTATACATGGACATTCTTTTCATGTTCATTCTTTTCAGTTGGCCAACATTAGAGAAACAAACATTTTTTCATTGGCCTTTAGAATATTCTAATTTTCTGAGATGCCAGATTTGATGTTTTCATTGGTTGTCACCTATAAATATCAAATTTAAATGTAATGAACATTGGAAATACATTGGTCTGTGTGCATTGCATGAATATAATGTACAAGTTTCACGTTTTGAATGGAATTACTGAAATATTTTCAACCTTTTGATGATATTCTAATTTACTGGCCAGCACCTGTATAATTCAAAAATTCAACCTGCTTGGTCCCAGGAGTCTTGTATTAACTTGATATTGTGTTCTGCATTACCATGGCAACATGCTTATCAACAACATTTAACAACATTTTAGACACAACTGTATCAACAAACTTTAATATAGAAATGTTATTCAAAGTTTAAAAGAATCATGTGACATTGTACATTGCTTTATTAAAGCAGACTCCTGTCATCTGTTACCATGGCAACACAAGGAACTGCAAATCACTTTAACCAAGTCTCATAGGAATGATTGTAAAAAGCAGAATATTGAGCCAATAACAGACTTCTGTTTGTGATCTTTTTGATCTGTACTTAAAACTAGAAACAAGTTAAATTTGATTGACCGTCAGAAGGTGGGAAAGTGCCCCACTCCCTCCCAGCTCCCTGATTGGGTGAGGTCAATCATCTTCTGGCTAAATGGAATTACACACCCACACATGTGATACATCAAATTGATCGGCTTGGCCTAAGGAATCCATCCATCCACATATAAATCCATTCATGCTTCCATCCATCCAATAAACCATCTAACATCAATCCAACATTTCATTCATCCAACCATTCATCAATTCCATACCAACTCTGAACATATGTTAATCTATCAGACTGATAGACTGATAGTATCAGTTTCAGATATCAGTAAATGTTTCTAAATTCGCAGTTGGGCCAAATGTAAAAATGTACCCATTAAACTATTCTCATTCAAATGCCAGCTGTTTAAACATTCAAACTTTTGAATTTTTAATCAATGTTTAAAGATTTAAGTTTTCTGCTGTTCAGAATTTTTTTTGTCCATTCTCCACCTATATTCTGAGCTTTATTACACTTGTTGGTGATTTTTGCTTCTAAATCTTTAAATACATTCAGCTCATTTGGACAGTTTAGCTTGGTTTCAGCTTCACTTCAGCTATTCAGCAGCTT